TTGAACACAACTTCAGTAAATATTTGAAGAAAAAATATTATGTGATTTTTATGAAAATGAGTACTTAAAATTTTAGCCCAGTCTACTCTTAGTTTCTGGATCCGTCCCTGACGACATCCACGGGGTTCGAGGGCGTTACTATTTATCGCCCCTTTTATTACTAGTCACCATTCTTTTTAGACGATTTTGTCCTTCTTATTCGCACAATGTCCAGCAGTTCAGAGGTATTTTTTTTTTTGTCCAGCCAGAAAAGTGCCACGCAACCGGTGGTGTCCGGCCGACCGGACCGGACCACGCGTCCGGCCAGTTCGACCGGACACCACCGGTTGCGTGCGGTATTGTGGGCCGTACGGACCGGTCGTTGTACTAACCGACCGGCCGTACGGCCCACTTGGTGTCCGACCACGACGGCCGGTTATAACCCAGCCCGGCCTGTCCGACCGGCCGACATCATTTATTTTTTATTTTTATTTTTTATTTTTATTTTTTATTTTTTTTATTATTTTTAAATGCTTTAAAATTATTAAATAAATTGCAGGTGTCTTTAGAAGATTTTGGAGGAGATGGTGTTGATTACCGTTCCGCTTTCAATACAACTACGCTGTTTATTAGTGATGTGGAGGCTATTAAAGATGCAAAAAGTACGGCAATTCTGAATGGTTTCTTTTTTACTATTTCGAAACACAAAAAACCCGGAAGGCTGAAAATCTCGAAGTGCGATCGAGACGAACGTTATAGAGGCAAAAACGTAAATATGAATAAAGTTGTTTCTAGACATTCAAAAACGAAAGCGTGCCAGTGCCCTTTTGAGATACAAGTAAAGCGTGTTGCCAGATCGACATACTGGATGATCCACACGAGTCAAGACGAAACGAAGGGATACCATAATCATTCATTTGTTGTGTATCCTGAGGGCCATCGACAGTCGAGCGGCATAAGCCAGTCATCCAAAAAAATTATTCGTGAAATGACTGATGCGCATGTGACACCAGCAAATATTTTGGCCGCCGTCCAGGAAAAAAATCCACACGACCATGCTAATCGGCGACATATATATAACTATAGAGACTGGTTGCGTAAGAAAAGTTTTGAGGGTAGGGACGTTCCTACCCAACTTCTACATTTGGCTAGCAGCAGCAAGTATATAGTTAATACAAATGTCGATTCGAATACAAATGTGCTGACACACATATTCATGGCCCATCCTGATTCAGTGAGTCTATTCCGGACATTTTATTGGTATGTCGGCATAGATTCGACGTACAATGAATGAGGAGATAATAGCTCTAAGGCAAAATGAAACATGGGACTTAGTACCCAAACCTGATGGAGTTAAACCCATATCTTGTAAATGGGTTTATAAAATAAAAAGGCGACCTGACATATCAATTAAAAGATATAAAGCTCGGCTTGTTGCACGTGGATTCTCACAACAGTACGAGCTAGACTACGAAGAAACATTTAGTCCAGTTGCAAAAATCACAACAGTTCGAGTACTTATTGCACTGGCAGCAAGAAAGTCCTGGAAATTATGGCAGATGGACGTGAAGAATGCATTTCTACATGGAGAGCTCGACAGAGAAATATACATGGTCCAACCTGCGGGGTTCGAGGATCAGGAGAATCCAGGATACGTGTGAAAACTAAAGAAGGCCCTATACGGGTTAAAGCAGGCGCTACGAGCATGGTACGGTAAGATCGCTGAATTCTTGATTCAGTGTGGATACTCTGTTGCACCAGCAGACTCGAACCTCTTCGTTAAGAAACGAGAAAGAAAACTAGCAATATTGCTAGTATATGTAGATGATATCATTATCACTGGAGACGATGAAGAAGAAATCCAACAAACAAGGAAGAATTTATTGGTAAGATTCCAAATGAAAGAGCTTGGAGAACTTAAGCATTTTTTGGGACTTGAGCTAAAAGAAATAGGCGACGGTCTTTTATTGTGTCAGTCAAAATATGCTAAAGATCTATTGAGGAAATATGGCATGATTGACTGCAAGACTTTATCGACTCCAATTGAAGCAAACGCCAAGATATGTGCTCAAGATGGAAAAGACTTGGAGGATACAACTATGTACAGACAGCTGGTCGGAAGCCTAATCTACCTAACCCTAACACGGCCAAACATTTCATATGCAGTGGGAATTGCAAGTCGATTCATGGAGAAACCAAAGAAGCCACACCTTGAGTTAGTCCGACGTATACTAAGGTATGTAAAAGGATCTATTGACTATGGACTTTTCTATCAAAGGAATAAAGATATAAAACTTGTTGGCTATTGCGACGCGGACTATGCCGGATGTGGTGATACGAGAAGGTCCACTACTGGGTATGTGTTCAAGTTTGGGTCGGCTGCAATATCATGGTGTAGCAAAAGACAACTGACAGTGTCCCTATCAACAGCAGAGGCCGAGTACCGAGCAGCAGCAATGGCAGCTCAGGAAAGCACATGGCTTATGCAATTATTAAAAGATCTACATCAGCCATTTAGCTATGCGGTACAACTATATTGTGATAATCAATCCACTATACGCAAAGCAGAAAACCCCGTATACCACGAAAGAACAAAACATGTCGAAGTACACTATTATTTCGTTAGAGAAAAGGTGCTCAAAGGAGAGATAGAGATGAAGCACGTTGGTACGGAAGACCAAGTCGCCGATGTGTTCACAAAAGGGCTCAATTCTTCAAAATCCGAAGTGTTCCGAACATGTCTTGAAATGATTCGAGAAGAAAACATAACTCGAGACAATGTCGGTGTTGAAGGGGAGTGTTAATTAAATCAACACCTACCTATAGAAGCTTCTAAAATTATCTAGTATATTTAATATATAATTAGTTAGGTAAGAGTTTAATCATTTAATGCATACTAGATACTTCTTTTAAGTATTATAAATAGAGGTATTGTGTGTGTGCTGTGTGTGAAGAAAACAAGAAAAAAAAAAAGAGAAAATATTAAGTGAGTGTGTGCAAGAAATAACGTGTGTTGAGTGTGCGATCAAAACAAAAAGAAAACAAAAGAGTGAGGTGTGAGTGCTTATAAATAAATAGTGTGAGTTGTATGAGTGCTTACAAATAAATATTGTAAGTTGTGTGAGTTGTATATTTTATTTGTATAATAAAATTATTTTGTTTGAGTTACTCTCGAGTATATTGGCCAAATAATATCCAACACAACCTAGTGTACAGACAATACAAGTGGAAACATCCATTTGTGTATTTTTTTTTATTTTATTTTTATGTATGTTTTTTACTTGAGTTGTCAACCTAATTGTACACTAAATTGACAATGTACCATTATTTTTTTTTTTTTAATCCCCAACTCAATACAATCTAACATATTTTATTTTCATTTATTTAGAAATTGCTATTTATGTTTCAAAACCTACCAGATGTGGTCTATGTTTCATAACCGGATCGCAGTCCAATTGCAACATTGATGACCTTTTTCATTTTTATTTTTATTTTTTTTTTACGATTTTTCCTTCAGTTTTTGTGTGTCTTATAACATTGCGAATGAAGCTCAACGCAATTTACACAATAGCCAAAATTTCACCTCCCTTTCTCATAGCCCGTAATTACTGAATGAATGAATGAATGAATGTACAGCTTTTCTAGAACACCAAACTACAAACGTAGACAAAAACAAATATAGATGATGTTCGAAACAAGAACTTAGGAACTAAGAATATACTGAGCAAAGATAGAGCCATATATATAGTCATTTTTGACAATATAACAAAGCACGACGATGATGATCGATCCGGAAACAACCAATATTAAGCTCACAAACTGAATGGAAAGACAGACATACCTAAGAAATCTGATGTTGCTCTCTTATTAAGTGTAAAATCAGTATAATCTCACAACTTAATTTGGGAAATATTCTTAGCTCAGTTTATTGAACCAAAATCTTCAAAATGAAAGTACGTACAGAAGCTGCCTTATAAAGGCTAAACACACATGCAAGAAGAACTAAACGACGTTGTTGACAGGCCAAACGACGTCGTTCACTTACTAAAACTTAAAAAGAGAAAAAGAACTAAAACGGCGTCGTAAATATTAAGTAGGACGACGCCGTTTAAACTGAAACCAAAAGAAAGAAAACGCATGAAAAGAAGATGAGATTTTGAACAGAAACTTTGAAAAGCATATCCATGCATCTCCATGCACCTTCTTCACACAATCAACACTAGCGGCATATGATCCTCAACACTAAGCTTTACCGAAGTCCACACCGTCCTGTTTGCATTTGTTGGATTTCGAAAAGAAGCAAATTCCCCATGATTTTTTTGGCTTGGTTCCTGGATGTGACTTGACCTGCTTCTGAACAACCAGTTCGGCCTTGTACTGAACAACGGCCTGAACATACAAAACAAGAAACAACATAAAAGGTAAAAAATAAATCTCAAATCCGCCTTCACTATTATTACATCAGCCCAAAAAAAAAAAAAAAAGATTATAAAGAAAACTGGATTCAACACTTTCAGTCATTATTTCACCTGAGCCCCATTCTCGGTCACGTTCATTGGTGGCACCTCCAGAGGATTTCCTTCCACATTCAAGACACAGAGTCGGGTCAGCATTCTGAAAGATTCCGGCAGGACCCTTATCTGATTATTGCTCATATCCAACACTTGAAGCATTTCAAGGTTCCCATTGGACCTCAGCAGGGACTGCAGGTCGGCAGAGTTGTTGCTCATGTTCATCTTCACGAGTGACGTGGCAAAGCACAGGCTCTCCGGGACAGACTCCAGCTCGTTGAAACTCACATCGAGCTCCTTCAAGTTCGTAAGGGATGACATAGTTGTCGGCCGCAGTTTAATGTTATTATAACGCACAGTGAGAATCTCCAGAGACTCGATCCGACCCACCGCCTCAGGAAGGGCCTTGAGTCGGTTATAGTCCGCACGAAACTCCTTGAGTGAAGCACACCGGCCGATTGTGTGAGGGATCTCTTCAATATTGTTTGTCTGAATGTTGAGTTTTTCAAGGCGCACGAGGGACCCAATGGCCTTGGGGAGGTACGAGAGCCCATTGGAGCTCAGGTTGAGCTCTTGAAGATTAATCTGACCAGCAATAGTAGGAGGTAGTGTTTTCAACTGGTTTCCTCTCAGATCGAGACGGACAAGGCCAAGCAGATTCCCGATGGATTCCGGCAACTCGCTGATCAAGTTCCCGTGCAAATTCAGCTGACGTAAAGATGAAAGAGCCTCTATAGTGTCCGGTTTGATGGCTAATCTGTTTTATGATAAATCCAGCGTGATCAGGCTCTTGAGCTTCCCGACCGAGTCAGGAAGCCATTCGACTTGGTTGGATAGTTTGGCTTGGAGAGTCAGCGTCTGAGTACCTTCCTCTGCCGACACCTCAATGAGGCTGGCCAGTTTTATCACAGCTCAGATCCTCACCATCTTGCCCTGCCAAAAAGAACAGTTACACCAAATCTTAGAAACTAAAATAGACATGACAAGGCGTATATCATAAAATTCAAAACACAACATATAAAATTAGGATCTTGAAATTTTAATTCACCAGAAGCCGAAACCTCCAAGCCACCCACACGAATGGTTGTCTTTGTTTTCTTCATGTACGAATCGTCCTTCGAATAAGCGGGCCCCAAGGCCTTGCCGTACTCCATGTCGTTCAAGAAACTGGAAGAAGAAGATGAGGATGCTGACAGGGAGGCCAACGAGGTATTCACGGTGTAGCTCAGGTTGTTGGACAAGTCATATGATGCCTTGGTGGATGGGGGCTCCTCCGTGCCTGACGACCCCAGCAGGCATCTGGACGCTCTCTGAATCAAATCATCGAACGTCATGTGGACGTCCTCGAGATCTATGACTATCAGCTTCACAGCCTCCCTTGTCTGCTCCTTGCCGTGGAAATGGATCATGCTCCTCTGCATATCCTGCAGAACCCTGAACAATTCTTCAGGCACGTTTTTGCCCTTGACACGCCTCTTAACGCCCTCGAGCCTCGCCTGATCTTCCCTCTCCAAGTTCTGAATCAGGGTCCTCGCAGCCTCGACTTCCTCGATCCCCGGCCGGTAGGGCAGCGAACGGTGGAGCCTCATTATCTCCTGAACGACATCGTCAGTTGCCATCGCCGGCGACAGCTCCATCCCCGGTTTTTTACTTTATTCAAAAACGTCTCAAGAAACGGAGGATTTAGCGGCTCTGGGTTTGTCCAAGAATAACGGAAAATTGGGCAAAATCCGCTCCCTCCGAGCAAAATCAGCGGCGGAAAGAAAATGGTGGACATTAACTGAAATCTCTCAACACTTCACAAGAAACCCATCATCGGTTCGTCAAAAGAAGAAAATTCAACGGCGCTTCTCGTGGGTTTCAGTCCACATGCCACCTTTATCGAACACACTACACACCACCCGCACAACCAGAAAAGGCAACAGCCATTATTATGATCACGAGAAAAGGGGGGAAAGGGTTAAGAAATTTAAAATGTACTCACGGAGAGGTTGGACGCAATGAAGCCTGGACTACGAGGAACTTTCATGGTGGGGCCGCCCTCTCTGTAATCTCGCCATTGACGATGAGCCCAGTAGCACAGAAACTGCTTATATCAGGGAAAAAGGCTGTCAATAATTTGGATAGATGAGAAAAAAGGAGTGGGAAATAAAGGTTGGATAATTGAGTGTTGTTTACATTATTTTATGAATTTATTTCGAATTATTTTTTTATAATCGAAGGGAAAAACGGCCATGTGGTTTTATTAATGCAGATCTCAAAATGTCGAACCTTTCATCATCATCTAGCCGTCTAGGTGTCTTATATTATTTTTTGTATTGAAAACTGCGTTTGCGCGACCTATATTATCACCTCTTGTCGTCCTGCGGCTCCTTTCGTCCCCCAGCCATCTCAGAGCCCAAGCCCGCACCGCAGCACCATACTGGTCGTGCCTTCAGCGTGGAACTGGTCGATGTGATCTTGGTCTCATAAATGACCCTCAGCTGGCTCCCAATTTGCCTCGCTGTTGGGGTTGTCCCGTCCCTTCCATTGCACTAGATACTCATGTCTCGGAATCTAGCTTTGTCGTCGTACGACCCGATCATCCTGTATCGATTACCCAAAATCAAAGCAAGAGGAAAGAGTCCCGCTGACGAGTCAAAATCAAATGGCCGCTAAGACTAAGAGTGATTATGAAAGCTTTTCCCTGACTGAACCCAACGAACAAAGTGAAGTCAAAGAGCCTTTCAATAGAAAAAGAGGCAAAAAAAAAAAAAAA